GTGTTTATTCCCACCCCCAGTTTACCGAGAATTCGGACTGTGTGATCGGGTTCGATCGGATGGACTGCTCAGCCCCGGATGTGATTCGTGTTCTGAAAATTTGTCTCAACCAATTGGAAGATATTTATCTGCAAGTGAGTCGCTAATCTTCTTCTGCTCACCAATCCTCTGTTGTTTTGTTCCTCATCCGACACGCGTCTTCTCTTCAGGATCTGTTGTACCGTTTCTCTCTCTTTCGTATATCCTTTGCTCTAAGTATGCAATCTTTGATAATATTCGTTTTTAAAAAACGAGTTACTGAGCGAACAGTTTTTTTGGTGATTCCTAGCCCTAGTCTCTCTCTCAGATCGCACAGTGAGACACTGCTTACAGAATGACTACCATATTGGCCCGATTTAAGATCATTCGATTCATTACCTCAAATGTTAAACCTTATCATGGGATTGTTCAACTATTTCTTTACTTCTTATTTTTGATGGAACTATTATGTGTGTTGGTTAACACACAGCATTGTGTCCTCGTGGCTCGTTCACAGTACTTCCTAGGTTTGTGTCCTCAAACGGAACTCGAACCGTAAAGAGCGAGGAAGATATTTAGGGGTAGTGGAATTCGAGCAAAGGAGCCTCTAGGCCATCAAGACCGTAATTCCTCTCGCTCGACAACCACCGCTCCTTTTTTGTGGCTCATGCGTGTGGAAGAGGAAGAACGCGCACAAGGAATGATGATTATCATTGTTGTATGAGTGGTCGAAACCGTGATCCGTCTCTCAGACTTCACAAAATCCTCCAGTGTACCCTACCCCACCACACCAAATCCGGCATTTCACTGAAACACGAAATCGAAGTCGAAACCGCGTAATCTGGACCGCATCAGCCAATTCTGATATAATAACAATCAAGTGTCACTTTTTCTACCACACGGTTGAACCAAAATGACAGAAATATTCTTTTTTTCTGTATTTTGTTTCCATTTATTGAATATACATAGTTTATGTGTATGCAAACAATTTTCACGAAGGGCAAAGCGGTCCGTCAAAAGGCTACCATACAGGGAAATGTATGAGAAAAACTAGAAAACTTGACAAAAGCAAGTAGTTGCTCCAATGTGATTGTTTATGGCACTCAGTTCCATCCCCACCATATTGGGTCTCCAACAGTCGATCAGGCTGTTCCGATGGTTTCCAACAGGGGAGCCGATTCCAACTTTTCCATCCATCATTTGTTTTTCTTTGGCCAACATTATCTGCTGACTCAGTCCAGCCGGAGACATGCTTAAGTAACACATTTCAGCAATCCATGACGGGTCAGCACGGTCCGCGATATCCACTTCACGATTCACTAAGTAGGTACTTAGCAATGGTAGACGCTCGCTGTCCGGTGACTCAATTCGTACCCATTGATTACAACAGATGGACGTTTCCTCTCTCTTAGTGTTGACATGTTCGACCGGCCGGTATGCCTGTTTGCATATGTACTATGGTGTGTGTGTGTGTGTGTGTGTGTGTGTGTGTGTGTGTGTGTGAAACGGAGATGGGTTGAAGATATAGATCTATGAATGTGTGCATGTTGCGGTCGGAGTGACGGAACTCGACCTGTTTTCACAGATAATTAGTTCGAATGAGAATGAAACAGATGCAAAACTGTCGCTGTTTGTCCGCAGTGATGGTTTCTTGGACGTGTGTCAAGCGTCTGGGGAGAGGGGGCGGGTGTTCACTCAACCAGTTGGACGAGTGCTAGTGTTTCGATTAGCATAGAGCTTAAATTCGGGTTTAATTTCATCAAAATAGTAGGCGGGCTTCAGTTTATTATGTCGCATTTCGCAGTACCGAAGAAATCGATTAGAGCTGCGACAATTTTGTTCCAGCAGTTTTGCCTGGAGTCTACTGAGTAGAAAACACTGCAATTGAAAGCTGTCCTCAT